ACAGGGAATTGCAATATTTATAGGGTACACTTACTATGCTACTTGATGTCTATGAAAACTAACGGCTCGCTCTATCGAGGATAATTGCCCACACTTATGTTCTCATTGCTTAATAACTGGGGTGCGGGTCGTGACCGACTGAACTTTTGTCATACGTGGTGGAATTGGACGTGATGATGACTTGGTCATCTGGTTCCTCGGCGTTGGCGGTAGATGACGCGTTGGCGTGTGCGTTCCCCAAGGTGCGACTTGTTTGGGCAAAATTGGGCCTCAACACCGACAATGGATTTGACAGGTCATTGCACCTGTTTATAGCCTGAAGGCCCGTGATCCGCGACTTAAGCAGTTGTGAACAAAAAAACTATATCGGAGAAACTGAAAGAATCCTCAAGACGTAGGTTGCCGAACAGTGCAGAGAAACGATGCCAATCCTCAAGATGCGGCTCATTGGACGAGACCCATCCACCCATTCAAATTTGATGGGGCTGAAGTCCTCGCGAGAGGTGACGATCATGCTAGCCGCCAATTGCTTAAGTCATGTTTCACGGGCCTCCATTCCATAAATCAGTACAACGATCCACCTAATCCATTTTCGATGCTGAGGCTCAATTTTGTGAAAACTAGTCGCATATTGGGAACGCACAAGCCAACGCATCATCAAACGCCAACGCCGGGGAAATGGATGGCCGAGCAAGCATCACGTCCAATTCAACCACATATGAGGGAAATGCAGCAGGTCACGGCCGGTACGCTGATCATCGAGCAATTCGGGCAGAAGCTGGAAATCATCCTCGATGGGGAATCGTTAGTCGTCTTAAGTGTGCAGTATCATAGTGACTGTATCCCATAAGTACTGCAACTCCTTATGCATGAATCATCCGTTTCCATTTACTGAATAACATTCCCTAATTTTCCCATAGGACGCTTTTCCTTAAAATTGCATTTCCTGGGATGCGTGCCTTCCAGTTTATACGTTTCTATTACTGTAAATGGATGTCTCTGATGGAGAATCCGCGACAGACTTCGAAAAGTCGGGGGAATAAAAGTCTTGTTCCAGCGATTGTATCTTCTTTCCAATTACTTCGTGGGACTTTGGAGTCGGGTGACGGGTGAATTAGCGTTCATTCCTGAGAGTTTACCTTAGAGTCAGAGAGGAAAACAGCGCTCGTTGGACAAAATAGTAGCTGTGTACGTTATCCACTTTCGAAACGCGCGCAGTGCGACCTGTGGATGCCTCCTCTGACTCCGGATTTTTAGTTTACGCTCATCTTCACGCACTGTAATTAAATGCAAACAGATTTCGATAAATTAATTGGGACATTTCGGTTTCATATGAAGAGGCTTCATTTTTCTTGCAGAGTTATTTAAAAACGTGGATGAGAAAAAAAAGTGGAGATTTAACCTTCGCCTTGCTCTCCAACTGAATCGTACCGACTTTCTCAGTGAGGATATGTTTGCTGGAGTGGACCGGGACGTAAGTCATCTGCACCGCTTACTCTTTTCGCCAGTGAAATCATCCGCGCCGAGGTTACATTTGAAGTAATTATGCCTTCTTTTGAAGATGGTGCCAAAAAAATTTGTGGAAACAAGCCTCTTGGAAGATAAGAGAGATTTCCTTCAATTCCTTCTGGATTCGGGCTTTCCGCTGCATAAGTATATCACACCAGAGCTTATTGTGAAGCTGTACCAAGCGGACGTCAAAAGCAACGTATGTTTTGCAAGCAATTGTTTTGCATCATATGAGTTTCTGATACGCTTTGTCAAAGAGTCAAGGAGTAACGTCTGTTTGGTCCTGGTGCTTTCAATCCATAAGTCAAGCAGTTTAATTGATGTCCAATTAGTAGACCGATTCTCTTTTAAATCTTAATTAATTTGCATTTGAGCCACTGAGTCCCCAGGACACCTAAGTAAGGCCAATGCGGTGCATCTATGTGCTTGCAAGCTCTGATTGGTTTCCACTGGAGCTGTAAGATGCCCTGGCAAAGCGTCACGCCATCTATAGTTCACTGGCCCTGCGGCGTTACTGGTGAAATCTCACAAACCTTGGAACTAAGCGTGTGTGCAGTAACCCTATAGTCGTATGACATACGCGAAAACGATACTCAATCTTTTGTTATATTAAGGTAAGTTCAGAAATATCGTTTTGATTAAACAGGATTACTTAAGTGGGGTAGTTGATATTGATTATTTTTCGGAATCTACCCTAGGTATTCCTCTTACAAAGAGATGCCGGCTTTTGCTTGCATCTCTTTTCTGCCCTCAGTAGAAAATGACAATAGGATTTCTGCGAGTTTGTTTAAAATCAATTTTTGATGTCTTTATAACTTCATACATATTTTATCAAAAAGTGTTTTTGGAAATATTCCTTCTTGTAGAACAGTGGTGCATACCACCTTTTCTTTAAATTTATATATTTGAGGAAAGTGTATCAATTGGTTTTCAAAAAGTTTCTAAGTGTGAAATGTTTTTAAATGTCCATTGAAAAATCATTGTGTCAGTCAATTTTCTACTACCGCCTTTTACGTATCCAACGTAGTCCATACCCATTGCAAACCATTACGTCCTATTTTCTTAAAGTTATACGGAAATACATGCTTCCCTTAAAGTAATAATAGTAAGCTTGTAGCTTCCACACATTGGAGTCAAATGTACATGACAGATTAGGCTCAATATTATTCGAGCATTGTAAGACATTTTACAATGGAACTTCGGATGACAAGCAACCCCATCTATGAGCATTTCATGCAACAAACAAGCCACTAGCAGAGACTTTTTTCGTTTGACAAACTATCACTCTGTTAACGAGTTGTCAGTGCGTGTGTGTGTGCGCCTGTGTCAGCCGCTGAGTCCTGCTCCCAGGACGTGGGTTCTTGGTCACCTGCAGCCAATCAGTGAACTGATGCAGCTTGATTGACTACGATTAGCAAGGCAAGATTTTGACAAGATGAACTCGCTGCTAGAATGGATTAAACTCGTTAACTGAGGTTGTACTGGATACCCCTTTTTCGAGCAGGATAGTTTAAGAAGACATTTTTGCAACCATACTAACACAATGAAACCTGGAAGCCTTCGAGTCATTTTCTACCGAGCGTGACGGAATTCTGTGGTGACTGAAATATGTTTTGGGATGGCGCTGTCAAAGGGTTGATATTGAAATTCAATTAATCCTCGTGTATCTACTTTTGCGCACTCCGTTCCAGTCAAAATTCCGATATTCCTCTGAATATGAAAACAAATATGTTTTGTTTTGTTTGTTTTGTTTTGTTTTGTTTCCATCTTCAATAGAAGTCACTAACACTTGAGGCCACATGGGAGTTTTTCGCGAAAGTTCAGTAAGCCGACGTGTATTTTTTCAAGTAAACGTCAAACCACGAAGGGAGGTGCCGACTCACTTCGGAGCAAACTAGCGCATTGGCGTATCTAAACGATTAACAGTCACGAGAAATCTACGTGTAATTTAAACTTAGAGCAAGAACTTAAACTGACTGGTATTTATAAGGACAATTTTTCCGCATTCTTCTTCTAGAAACCTCGAGCAGAAATATTAAGGAGTTTGGTGAAATCGGTGAGTTCAGTCAAACATTTTGACTTTTTTTCTGGTTTTTGCCCTTTGGGTTAAGTAGTTGCTTTGCCTTTCCCAGTCTTTGCAAAAGTTAAAGATTCATGCGGAAAAATTACTCTCGTTATGCCATCTAGCTAACTAGTAGACAGGAATAATTTAATAGCTGACCCGTACCTGCTATTGCTGTCTGATTATGTCTCTGCTGATGAATCAGCGACGTATCTGGAAACGTCTGGCGAATAAAAGTATGGCCTCAGCGATCTTCTCAATCACTTCCTGGTACTCGCATTTTCTCTTCTATTGAGAATTTGTTTGGGGGTGATGCGCTCTGATCGGCCCGACGATGGATAACATTTACCCTTCGTGAGGCCTCAACCTATTCGCAAATAGCTGAATAGTCAGACCAAAACCGTATACCCTGTATTCTTTTTCTGGCATATACTACCAAAGGTAGAAGAGGGAGCTCACAAATCAGATTCCGAAAAATACTCACCCCATTGACACGATTGTAAAAAATTCGGAGCCTCAGTCGGATTCAAACCCACGTCAACAAGGAAAGGATTGAGTACAGCCAACGCTCTGCCAACTGAGAACGCGGTTCACTTAGATCGATTTACCTGCACAGCCTACTGTACGTATGGAATCCACCAATACGGATAAGTAAGATGACTACTAGGCACACTTTATCATTAGACTGGGTAGATAGATTTAAATAATTCAATTGATCCACTTGTGAAAACTTTGCGGCCTCACTAGTATTTGTTGATTTTGTTTAAAAGGGCTCTCATGACTTGTTGAACGGTATCTTTCAAGTAAATATATATCTAGTTTATATGTATATGCAGTTGTTGTGGCCGCCATTATAAGGTGCTCAGCAGTCTGTTCCGGGTGCCGAAAACTTGCTGCGAAAATGAGTATCTGTGAACATCTAACTGAGGTAAAGCTGCAAAGAGTTTAAGTGGATTCCAACACGAGAGAGTTGCAGAAGGCAAGTACGCAGGGACGAACAAAGGAACCGACGATAAATCGCGCTCTCTAGTATGCTTATCGATAAAATTCGATAGACGAGATTAGCGTGAAGGGATCTTGATACACTTTATTACCACTAAAGCGTAAAATTTAATATTTGAAGCCATGACACGAAGACTAGGGTTTACATTCACACAATATATGTGATCAACATTGAATCGTCGAAATATATATGAAGCCCGCTGACCTCTCATCGACACAACAAAATTTACAAATATGGCCTCATGTGTTATAATTCAGCGACTAGACTGTCACGAGGTAAGGTTTATCTGCGGCTTCGCAAACAGAATAGGAAGTAATCTTATGCTTTACCGTACGTAAAGCAATAAACGCATCTAAACGTTTCCCATGGGACGTTCATCCTCCCTCAAATAGCAAGTCAGTTAGAGGATATGCGTAGAAATAAACGCGATTAGTTTGAAGAATGCGAAAACAATTTTCTACCATACTTGATAATACATAGCTATTTATTCTGAATGGTCGGAAATATGCGAGGCCCAGGTAATTGAAAAAAAGACGGGAAAGCGTTCTCTGGGACCAATAGTTTATTTGCCCGGAGGTTCGAACTCTCTCGCGAGCCCATTATCAAAAAATAACGTGAATGTACAACTTACGTCAACTTTAGCTCAGTTCTGCCCAAAAGTGACCTTGACCTTTGCCATACGTTGTTTGCGAAACATGAGATAGGCATCCAGAAGACCGATATGTCAATTTATAGAATCCGCGTGCGAATGCCATGCCTTCTTTAGCAGGCGGGAGCTTCGGTCGTCCGACTGACCCAGTATCTGCATGAGTTCGAAGTCAAGGTCGTGCCCTGGCACGGAGGCGTGAGCGGGTACAAAGGAAAGCTTGTCCTTCGGTCGCATGACGAGTTCGTGCTTGTGAACTCTCGTGAGAACACGCTGGTTTCACCAACATAATTGGCTTGACCACAGAGACAATCGATGCAGTAAATGACATCGAATTTTTGATTAACGGATATTAGGTTTTTGGCTATATGAGTTACCTGCCTATTGTCGCTTCTGGCCTGATTATGTTTTGTGGTTACTGTGCAACTCCTAATGGGGCTCAATAGTGAGCCCCGGGACAGAGCGGGATGTGTGAGTTTCAGTATCGATCGGTGAGCATTCATCAGCGAGTGTCAATATTCCCAATCTTCACCGGCAAGACAACACCCCCTGGCTCGAGGATTAGAACGTTGGACCTCTGATCAACCGGTCACTGGTTCGAGCCTCGGGTGGTGCACGACCTTCGCTTGGGTATGGCGAATGATTCAGAAATAGTTATTCCGACCTTCAGTGCCTACCTGCCCTCTAGCTTAGTGTGCAGGTTTACGCTCGACCGGCTGCAACTGAAAATTTTGGCAGCCAAAAAGATGAAAGTTCTCCCGTCAATACCGAAAGCAGGAAGAATGTACAGACTTGAGAAGTCCCAAAATCCAAAGTGAACTTTCTTGAGAGACCTTGGAAATGCTAAATTACCACTGCTTTGACATATTCCGTGACTTACCATACGTCGCATTCCTCTCCACTCAGACGCCAGAGAAGATTACAATGGATGTTGTGGAGGCTGTTTTGTCAAAAACCCTTGGGTACAAATTAAACAAATGTGGTCAAGAGGCGGATGACGAGTCGAGCTCTGAAACTTCAGGTGAGTAAACAATATTGACATTGGAGGCTGTCTTGCATTTATTCCTCACACTGTTACAGTTAAGAATGGGGAATTACCCTTCTAAATGTTATACCAGCAACGTAACTCCTGCTACCATCACCGAAAGAACAAAAGTATTGTCTTAGTGATCGCTTCTGCTGTGGCTAATACCCGTTTGCGCAGGCCTTTGGAGTAGTGGGTTGGCGTGCGGTATATGACCTAAAAGGCTTCACTCGCGTCCACTTGGTGGTTTGTATCAATTAGGTGGGCGAGGATTGAGCTTGAGGTCGGTCTATTCTCCCCTCTGCTGAGCCAAGCTGGTATGTGCTGGCGCATTCTCTTCTCCAGAAGTCGCGTTGTTCGGCCAATATAGCCAGCTCTACAGGAACAGGTGAACGAATA